TTTGGTTTTGAGACTTTAGTCTTTGCAACTTCAGGGATCTTATCTATGCACAATCAGCTTGTAACACTCCAAAGAGAAAGGAAAACTTGAAATCGCATCATATGACCCCTTTAATACCAAAAGTAGTTAACATTAGATAACACACTGTGAATTGACATAAACATACAGCAAACAATTGTATTTTTAACAAATATTAATGAATATTAAAATATATATTGCTCATTGTTAGGTTGTTAATTGACATTAACAAATGAAAGATCTTATTGTAAAGTCTTGATTAAACAAACAAAACAAAAAAAACAGTAATAACTATTGAATTGCTGTATTTATATAAAGTTTAATATTGACTTCAAGGTCTGCTTTTGAACTTTGGGGTCATGGAACAACAATAGATGAGCTTAGGACGTCGTTGTTGGAGTATCCAGCAGAAAACATGGTTTGTTTATGTTCCCCCACCTAATAAAGTACAATATGATTTATAGAGAGTATCTCTGAATAAACTGTATCTTGTATTAATTCTTCACAGGCTCCGTATCTACAACAAAATTCTACTTATAAGATCAATGTCTACACTTTCAACAAAACTTTAGTGTTTAAGGACAGAATCGAAAAGATTGATGTAAGTATTTTGCTGTATTTTACATATGTGTGCATTTTGAATACCTGATTCTGTGGCATACAGTCCATAATTGGCGTTAATTTAGCAACAGCTTTAATTGCAATTTTGAATGTCTTCTGTTATAGACTGTGAAAATCATGTGTGTATATATAAAGTGCATTTTTGCCACAGGCTCTAGACTTCTTACCGTTTAAAGGGACAGTCAATCTAAAGGATCCGGAACATATTTTCTGTTTGCTGGAGGATTATGGCTCTGATCCTAATGACATCCCAGAGGAGCCTTTCCATATGTATTTTGGCAGATGGGTGAGCTGCTTATAACGGTTCAGAACATTTCTTCCATAGTCTTTACAAGGCTTCACATATGACTATTGTATGGATTTGTAAAATGTTTGATTTGTACCTTAGAAAGTAAAGCTGTATGATGTCCTTGAAATATAAGGTAACATACTGTATCAACTATTAAATTTAAAACAGTTGGTTTTCTCTTCAGATTGCAGATGGACAGAGAGAATTAATTCGCTCTTACAGTGTGAAAAAGAGACATTTCATTGGGAACACTAGTATGGATGCTGGCCTCTCCTTCATCATGGCCAATCATGCCAAAGTAAAGGCTGATGATTTGGTTTATGATCCTTTTGTTGGAACAGGTGAGGAAATGTCTGTGTGCATAGAAGTCTTTGAAATACAGCCATTTATGTCTCTTGACATAAATTCAGACATTAATATCTGATTGTATGAGCCACATTTGAGGCTGTTATAAAATAGCCATCATATACACTACTGTTACAAAGTTTGGAGTTGATAATATATTTAAATGTTTTTGAAAGAAGTCTCTTCTGCTCACCAAGGCTGCATTTATTTGATCGAAAATACAGTAATATTGTGAATATTAAATATTTTTTCGTTTTTTATATATTTTTTTTAAATATAATTTATTCCTGTGATGCAAGGCTGTCTTCATTGTCACATAATTCTTCAGAATTCATTCTAATATGATGATTTGGTGCTCAAGAAACATTTCTTATTATTTTCAATTCTGAAAACAGTTGTGCTGCTTAATATTTAGTGCATTTTCAGATTTTTTTTGATGAATAGAAAGTTTTAAAAGAACAGTATTTATTTGAAACAGTCATTTTTAATAGTATTACATTTGATCAATTTACTTATATTTATTTGTGTTAATTTCTTAATTATTTGAACATTAAATTGGTGGTTCTTCGACAACTAGTATTAAAAAGTCAGTTTTAATATAAAAAGTCATTCAGTAAAGTCAGTGTATAAGTTTCTCATCCAACACGTCTATGATGTCAGGTACATTTATTCTGCAAATTAATTCATTTAGTCTTGGAAAATGTGTTCGTTTGGCATGTTGTTAATCAGAACAGTTTAGATGCTTCGTTTTGGGCCAAACTGAAGCAGGTGTTTGTGTTTCTTTCTCGTTCTGAGTGAAATCACATCTGACAGCTTGTCTGGGTGATTGAAGATATGTGCCACCATCTTCTGTTTCTTATTTGTTTCTAACACAAACCAGGAGCAGATCTCTATCTCTTTTTTTGGTGATGGCTCACAGAAATTCTCACTTTTCAATCTCAGTTGGCCCACTTTTCCTCTTTCTTTTGACTTTGAAAAGTACCACTTTCGAGTGTCATCAGTCAAATGAAGGATTGCTGGCTTTCTAAACAGCATGGGGCTGCATTTCTAACTCAGTATCTTTCCCAAAGCGAGGCTTTTTGTGAGTTTGTAGCATGCCGTGATGTTGCCAGGGCTTTATCATAAGTCTGTTGTCACCACATGCACGGAGATCTGCAGGCCAGATGTGCTTATTTAGTTGAACGCACTCTGGTTGCCTGGAAATCCTTATAGGCCATACTTTTAAAGTGTCAAGCAGATATAAAGATCTACACTCAGATATATTCCAGAGATTACTTGTATTATTTTCTTAAATTCTGTGATGATCATTTTCTTACTCCATTTTGTTTTTCAGGTAGTCTTCTGGTTGCATGTTCGCGCTTTGGGGCTTATGTATGTGGAACAGACATCGATTATAACACTATCCATGGAATAGGTATGTTTTTTTAAAGCATTTATGTAATTTTCTCTTTCACTCCTTCAGTTTTTCACACAATGAAGGTTTAGTCATACTTTTGTAGTGAGTGCCCACCTGTGAGCATTTAAAACTGTTGCAGGAAAAGCCAGCAGGAAGAATCAGAAATGGAGAGGACCGGATGAGAACATCCGAGCAAACCTGCGGCAGTATGGGACTGAGAGTCTGTATGTGGACGTCATGGTGTCTGATGCTTCCAAAACTGTTTGGAGAAAAAATGCACAGTTTGATGCCATTGTTACAGACCGTATGTTCCTAGAAACTTAAGGTCTTCGAAGTTGAAGGGTGTATAATTTATTTTTACGTTAAAATTCTATAGTATACCTGATTGGACCAGCTAAAAACCAGCTACCATGTTCCAAAACACTAGCTGGATTTTTAGTTGCATGGGAATTGTTTAGTTACATTTAGTGGTGCATAAATTACACACTTCACCTTTAAAGCCGCATTATTTTTTAGTTTGTCAGTA